TGCCCTAGACGGCCAGAACGGGCATCGTCTTCTACAACTTCAGTGTCATCATTCTGCAAAGGTTCAGAATGATCAGAATCCGATCATTCTTCCAAACCATGAAAATGTTCAGTAAATCCGATCCTGTATAGAAATCGAAAGTTTACGCGGCCGAACAAAAAACTGCCAGGCTAGCAAAAAAACACAGGCCCGAGAGCTATAATGTTGTAACACTCGAATAACTGATAATGAATAAAATAAAAACGTATTTATCAGTAGGATATTCTTTGTTGATTGGATATACATTTTTCTGGGAAATGGTTTTTGGTATATTCCTGTAGGAAAATAAATAAACAGATTTCTGTGGGAAATGTTGATTATAAGTACCAAAAACTCGATAGTCCAATAGCACTATGTAATAGTCTTTGATACTTAGCAGCTGTGTCTGAACCCTGTAGGTTTAGATAATGAATAGTAGTTTCGAATCTGTAATAAAAGCTGTTTAAGTTTACGTTTGTTGTTATCTCGGTGAGAATTCATTCTCAAAATTCTTCTCTCGCAATTGCAATGACGAGCTAGTGTTGATCGACGGACTCGAGACTGGCAGAACCGGATTTGCTTTAAAATCGTGAGGACGGGGCGCAGAAAAATTGGCACTATATACGAGTGTAATATTATTGTAATTTGAGAACGGCAATATGTTTGGTTAAATTCTATACGTTTTTTATTGGTGTTTCTTCCTTAATTCGAAATACATATTTTAAACTGTATTGCGTAATTTGTGCAATAAAAAAATACTTTTACTTCAGAACATTTTGTATTTTCCGAAACAAGCTTCACTTTACAAATGGAGTTTAAACAAATCAGTTAAAAAGATCATAAATATCAGTTTTTCGCGACCTATCCTATCAATAAACTTTTTTCAAAATTCGCGCAATCCTTGAGTTAGTTTTGGTTGGATTCTATCGAATAAACTTCTCAAGTTCTATAGGTGACTTACATAATTTACCTTTCGTGACATTTGCAAATATAAATAATAATCACTTTTGTTTCGCTGCTCTTTCAGTTTTTATAAATAAACCGGAAATTGTTCTTAACGGAAATGAAGTTCTAATACTAATACTAATTACAACTAATTTAATAAACTTTGCGTGAAAATCGTCATTTTTCCTGTCGTTAAGGTCTCATTTTTTTCGATTTTTTTTCTTCCTCTGTTTTCTGGGTAGGTATTTTACTAGAAACTATGTGCCATATGGACAATATAATATTAAACCTATACAAAAATATGCTATAATATATGAATACAGATCTAAGGTCGTCTTATTTAAAATTTCCGCTAAATTCATGAACTCTATGAAATATAATTATTTCAATACCATAGTCTATGTCGCTTGCGAAATAACAAAGTATCTGGAATCTAAAACGGTAAAAGGATCGGTGAAAGTTAAATCTCGTAACCGAGCGATAATACGCAGATAGAGATTAAAACGGAAAGTAAAAACTGAAAGTGACCTTGATTTCTTGGTTTCTGGTTTGGCAATTCGCCAACGACCCGAAATACTGCGGCATTAAGGGTAATAACTTGATGAATTTGCAAGCATATATTAATGTTTCTGCATACAAATTAATGAAAAGTTGGGGACCGGGATGATTTCTCTTTGGCGAGCGTGCGCAATGTGAGTGGACCATATTGAGATACCTTCCTACAAGAAAGCTGGCCGAGAAACATAAGATTTTTAGTATACGTAAACCCGGATAAAGACTTTTCAACCATCGACCGACGTTAAAACAAAACGATTATTGTTTAGTGCTGGTGACTTTTTTTTTTAATTTTAAGTACATACACATACATAATGTTTACTTTTCACAGTGCACAAAAAAGCCTAGTGATTTTTCTAAATAACACTGATTTTATTTTATTTTAATTGGCACATTTCATCCCATTCACAATAACTCTTTTTTACTTTAAATGATTTCATAAAAAATTAACAAAGGTAACTTAATTTTAATTAATTCAAGTTGTCTTGTTTACGTCGTTGTGTACAAGTCTAATTCAATTAAATATGTTCTTGACTGAATTCGAATAACAGAGGAACACATTCTCAATGTATGTTTGTACCTCCGACCTGTAGATATTTTGTTCCGAATCTTCATAACTTCTACAACAAGGTCGTGTGGTTAAAGTGCAAGTATGGTAGGCTTTGTTGACAAAATGTGACGGTTTATATAGGTAAAACTATAAAACAGAGAAATTATTTTTCGGAAATAAAGGGAATCATGGGAAAAACTATACTTAAAGTCTGTTGAGAAGATTGCCAACAATATGTAAAAGTGTGTATCAAGTTTATTAAAGGTCATTAAATGAGCTCAAGCTAGAAGTTGCAAAACTGAAATAATAATTTGAAATAATAATAATATTAACATGTCTTTATTCAATTTATGTAGATTTCCAATAATTAATGAATCAATCCGTCTTCCCTTTATCAATTTTGCACGATGCCGGATTTATCAAAATAGAAAAAAGCCAAAAGGGAGCAAACAATATAATGTTTCTCAACATGCATGAAAGCAATAATATCATGTCATAAGTACTGAATGTGAAAACCCGAACATTGGGTGTTGGCCGCATTGGCAAAAAGATTTTTCAGAGCAACTTGCTAACGTTTCGCCAATCATCCTTCAGAGCTAAACTGAAACTGATTTATAAAGATGGTGCCCGCTTTCTTAAAATTAGCTGGTCAAGTCGAAGCTGAAAGGCAAAGAATATTTAGTAGTGCAGATCTCACTCTAAAACAACATGAAAAAGATGAAAAAGAAAGATTTAACTTAACGCTGCGAAGTAAGAGGTGAGACTGTCTTACGAATTTTGTGAAATTGCGAGTTATTCCGTATACCGGAAGAATTTATGTGAGAACACCACTACCAAAAGAGGAGGAGGATAGCGGTCCGTATTAACGATAGTTTTTGTAGCTCAAAGCTCAATTGTTGGTCACTTTAGTATGCACCCATAATTACTAACTACTAGTCGACAGCATCCCTCTTAACTGTTTTAATTATCAATCAACAGTGTGCCTTCACTGATTTGTTCAATGTTTTTTTTTAAGTTCTATCGTGGATTGTTGCTATTTGAGTTGAAGCTTACTCATATCATTAGAATGCTATCTGCGGGGTCCGACTCAGAATTATAAAATTAATAAAATAAACTTCTAGAGTTCAGTGCTGTCTCACATGGACCCATTACTTTTCAATCTCTTTATTAATAACATAGAATCATGATGTGAAAACTCAATTTGTTTAGACAAGTTATCTAATGTTTCAAAGTGCCATTTGATGGCATTTTCCAAAACCATAAACTCTCTGGGTTTTAATTGTGACAGGTAAGCAAATAAGACATATTTTTGTAAGTTGTTAGTGTTTCTGGCAGAGATAGCCAAATCGAGTAGGCATATCCACGCCTTGATTTTAGAGAAAGCCTGATGTGATCAGTTTTTGGAGTTCTTGTTAACGTGTAAAAGTCATTACCAATCGTTGCCAAAATTTCATGGCAAACGTGACATCCTAAAAATAAGCTTATAACTCTTTTATTTTTGGTTTTAAAAAGGAAAACGTAGTAGACTTTTATCTTTAAAGAAGAGATATCAATTGACTGATGGATAAATAATTACATCTATACAAGATTTACTTGTGTATCCGTTACAGCGGAAAAAACTTGATTAATTTTACTGGTTTTTTGAAGTCAATAATACTAATGTTAGCAATAGCACCTTGACTTGAGTTTGTTGACGCTAGATACTTTTTTTTTATACAAGTTTCGAAGAACACCAAAAGTTTCTCGTTCAGCGTAATTTTAATATATATATATATATATATATATATATATATATATATATATATATATATATATATATATATATATATATATATATATATATAATAATTTAAGTTTAATATCCTGTTTCATGTCAACAGTTCTAAACTATTTAAATTTATTGTAAAATGTTAAGTAAGATAAAAAAAAGATATGATCCAACGTCTTCGAAATGTCAGTACTTTGCTCGACATTATTTTTAACAAAGTAGCAATCTTATATATACTGGAAAACTGTATTTCATATATCTGCAAAATTTACACTACGAAACATACGAAAAATATGAAGCCAGTACATTCCCTTTGGAACTCAGCAAAAACGCCCATAACTAGTGTTGGGACGGGTTAATTAACCGTCACTTAATTGACTAGTTAAAAACTCTTTTAAATAACATCTTATCCAAATATGATCGTTAGCGATTCGGAGAATTTCTCATAACTCACAATATAAATAAATATAAATTTCATAATATTTTTAAAATTATTTCGATCAATTGACCAGTCAATTGACACAAACTAATTTGACCAGTCCATTCTACAATCCTACTCATAACCCTGAACGAATATACACTCTAGCTGATGACTATTAATATTATAAATACAATTTTTGAAAGCTCTGGTTTTGTGTCCTTTAGCGCTTTCAGGTCTGCGTCGTTAGCCCGACACCACCAAGTCAACCTATCGATAATTATCAGGAGTTGAAGAATTTAATGAACATTTAATTTGTGAAAATTAACAATTGAAATTTGTCCGATAAATGAGATGATGTCTTAATGTTGACGTATACAGTAAGTAGTCGCGCTTTCGCCAAACAAAGGGACGAACTAATACGAATTAAGCGCAATCCCAAAAATCAAGGCCCGGCCTGAACCGAACGGAGCTCATTGTATGACCTTTTCTCCCACCCGACTTGGCCAATACTCCAATGTAGGTCAACCGCTTCCTGCCAATGGCATCCTGGTCCGTTCGTCACGTGGTTTTGTTGTTATCATCAGCTGTGTCCGGGCCGCTGTGCGGGACTCCGAAGGAATCCGAGCCACGAGCCCGCGGATCTCTCTCTCGTTTCGTTAACAGGGAACAAAGATAGACTCGATCGTCAGCTGTTGTTCGTTACGCTAGCAAAGCCGGCCGGCACTCAGTCAGTCGCTGGTAGTCGTAGTGTTTGCAGTGGCGAAGCGTTGTGCGTCGAAATAGTTTCACTTATTAAGTATGCGCATATCCTACGATAATAAAATCGTTGAATTGGTTCTTGATGTATCTATAGAGTGTTTTAGCCATCAGCAAGAGTCGGTGCAGAAATTGTTGGTCAGGAGACTTTATTTTACTGATCGCGGTGTGTTGTGAGAAGGTTTTCGAAACTGAACTCAATATTGTTAAATTATTGCGCGTCGACTTTCCTACTTTTGATATAAATTGCAACAATGTCGACGGGAAAACGAATCGCGAAACGGTCAATTATAGGCACACGCGTGTGCGCTCCGGGCGAGGACGGCAAATATTACTCCGGCGTCATTCAGGCGGTTAAAACTCCGGCAAGTGTGGAAAATAACAACTGCATCAATCTCACTCCCAATACGCGGTATACCGTGCGGTTCGACTCTCGACAAGGCACCCTCGGTCGTACTTCGGCGGAATTTCTGGAATCGGAACTGATCGGGCCCGGATTTCAATCGGTTTTGGGAGCCGAACTCGTCCCGCAACAAAAATGTTTCGTTACATTTAACGGGCGCGAAATTAGTGGCGAAGTATTGAAACATCATATTGAGACAGACGAAGTCATCATTAGGATCCACCCGATCGGTACAGAGGTAAGTAAACAAAGAAAGCCGGCCGGCATTCCTTCACCGCGGTGAATTGGTAGGTAAAAATACGAACTGTATGATGCATAAGCCCCTAGAAAACAGGTTTCGGTTGGGCGAACCTTGAAACTAATGCGCAACTGGTCAACGGTCTCTCTGTCCCTTGCCTGTGATTTTTATCAGCCTCTCACGATATTAGGCCGCAAAATCACGCTTGTTTGGAGTTCAAAATCCCCGCGTTTCGGTCAGAGGCTGCTCACGCACGAATTATTTGGATCCAAACGTTCATGTTGTGGCGTGTACACGACACGCGCTTTATCTGTTAATATTGATGCGGGGACTGCGGCGCGCATGTCCGGAAATACGTTTGCTCCGAATTAATTATTGCATCCGAGTGACGTCATGGTGATATTAATTTTTCTTGCCCAAGTTGGCGATTCTCATGGACGAGACTGAAGTGTATTTTAGGAGGTTGCATTCGTTTGCTTAAACTGGTTCGCGTTTATATGCAACTGCATCCTTTGTTTGATTGCAGCGTCATTGTTTTATCGATTGGTTTCTGATTACGTCGGTCTCTTTGTTTTCACTTTATCGAGTTCTGCGTCAAAGTAGCGAGATGCACTTTTTTTTTGTTTATCGTATTTAATACTTGTTAAGAAGGTGCCTTTATCTATCGCCGTTTCCTTATTCTAGATTGTACATTTTTCTTTGTCTCCTATTCAACGTGAGACGTAGTTTTGCTGTCTTCGATTATTTTAATATATTTGATTATAAAACTTCCTGTAAATAACCTTACAATTCCTTAGTTTGGTAGGTAAAAAAAACGAATCTAAAATGTGAAAGGACATTTCGCGTTATCCTTGTCCTTTGTGAAAATGGTTTTATCGTTCTTGTATGCTGTACAAATTAGGTAAGATTAGTAGGGTAAACGTGGAATAGGACGACTGATTTGTACTGAGCCGTGGAACCTTGAAAATAATGGAACGATTTATCACGCGGACTTGCAAACTGGCAGTCGTTTCGTCATTGTTTACCACTCAAACTGCGGACGTCCTTGCGCAAGGAATTGTGCAGAAAAATATTGAATATGATTGAATGCAACACATTCGCGAGACAGAATTTAATCGAACTTGGATATTTCTTAGCTTTAAGTTTTGTAAAATTGTTTATTCTTAAAATTTCAAAAGATTTTTACGGTACGGAGAATTTTAGTCTTTTGTCACTTTTACCACAATCTATTTCACGATCTCTCTATATGTAATAATAAAAAAATATTACTTTGAGTTTTAAATTTATTTTAAAGTTAATTTAAGTAAATTAAGTTTATTGCATAGTGCTTTTGAATTTAGCTTAAATTTAATTATTTATTTAGATAATAGAATAATTGTCGGTACTAGGCTATACAAAAATATAATATTGTTGTTTTTCCTTAAATTTTGTATTTTTTCTATTGGCATACATGTTATATCGTAACCACGGTTAGTTAGTTTTACTTTTGTAAAATTTCAGGTAGCAATTGGTAATGAAAAATGAACTACTGTGACTGTGACCGATTTAGCTACGTTTTTCTTTTGGTTGGGAGTGCTTAAGAATAACCATTAAAATATAATAAACCCTTGTTTATTCCTTGGTATTGTTTAAGAAATTATTTTAATGTACTAGACAGATAGATTATTTATGCATTGGCCGTTGGATTTTCCAAAACAAAACGAAATGGGGATCAAAATCTAACACAAGTGACCTCTCGTCGATCGTTAGATCAAATAATTACGTTTTAAGTACTTTCATTGACCCAGTATTTCGGACAAAGAAAATAACTTGCAGCTATAATTAAAGAGTGCTTCGACCCAATTCTAAACGTAATGGCGCAAGGCACTTATGAAATGTGTGGTCAATCTTTGCTCGTTATGTTAAATTTATCCACTGGTAGTAAAACTTTACACCGAGCTTAACACCATAGCTAAACAGTGAAAAATTGTTTTCAAATTTAAGGCACGAACCAGACGAACAACAATAACTTTTTGGTAGCGATGATGGTTTTTGGGGATCCAAATACAGGTGCATGCGATTCTAAAGCAAAAATAAGTAAAAACGCCATATATTTTAGTGAGAAATAGTACAAAAAAAGTTACTGTGTACCTAGCTATACTTTTTAAAGGACAGTTTTGAAGTTTGTTCGTTACGGAGGTGCTAAGTCACCTTCAATAAGAACGAGAAAGAAGAAAAATTAGGATCGCGAGCTGGTCCGAAATTTTTTAATTCCACTTTTTTGTTGCGCGATGTCCTGACAACGTCTAATAGAAAGAAATTGTGAATTCTTGACACTACTGTTTTTACTAAACCCTCAGAAACCAACATGAGCTTTCACTGGCAATTTAGCCCGATAGAAGTAACGGCATACGGGTTTTATACAATTCCGTTTCTATACGTACACAAAGGCCTCTGAGAAAACAATGCATCAATCAGCAAGCAATCACCAAGGTTTAGCCGTCTTATTGCGAAATAGACGCGTATACCTGTGTAATAGATACGTAGAAATCGTAAGTGAACCGAGATAAGCAAATAAAACTTTAATACATTTAAATGCGACAACGTAAATGAGAAAACTGTGCGCGTGTGCCACTTTTAACTGCCGAATATAGGTTACATAGTGAATGTTGCTGCTGCCTATAACATACGATGTTGCGAAAATATTTCGCAATATTTAAACCGCAACCTGTCTTGAGGTCGACTGTATAATACCTTTCTCTCGACCGCTTCATCGGTGTAACATTTATTAACGATATAATAAGCACGAACAGAAATTTTCGCGTTATTTGGTTAATTACTGTATGATAAGTTTGCAACAGTCCCAACTAGCATTTTTTCCGCGAAAGTTTCGACGGATCGGCAGCCATACGGAACGAACAAGGGGTTTATATATAAGATATCAACACGGAAAGATAATTACAGAAAACATGCTTAACTCTAAGGCTGTTATTAATTCCAAAGATCATCTATAATGACCAGCGTCTCGAATGTTTATGTTTTTAGTTGGTCGTTGATCGCAAAACACTTATTGCGTTCATGTACCATATTACTCTGGATGAGCCCCAAGGGAGTATCGTCACTCATAAGCAGATAAGCAGAAAGAAAAACTAAAAAAATCGCCACGGACCGTTAAGCAAACATTGGGAGTGTTTTTACGATTTATTCAAGCCGTATATACCCCACGGCCTCAAGCGTAGATCGAATTTGCTATTCTCTGACTTGGCAATTTGTACATTCCACATTACAATACCCCGTTTTGGTGTCCGCAATGTTGAATCAACCGTATAATGTTATTTCCGTCGGGCGTGTGTGTATGTGTGTGTACTTTACGACCTTTGACATTACCATTACGGTATCCACCTTCTAACGCGTGACATTATTTCTTGATGGAGACGATCGAAACTGGACTTCCCTTATGTCATGACCCTCACTATGACCAAAGAAGGCTTATACACCCAATATAATGGTTTCTACAACAGGTTTTAGGTTGTTCAGTTTCCAACCACACTCCATCCATTCATCGAAAAATAGTAATAATTTGGGAGTGGGGATTTTCATTCGTGATATCCACTGGGCAGGAGTCAAGTATTTGCTTATGTTGGAATTTTATAATTTCATTTCATTTTTCTTCGGATATTTATTTATTTAATAGTTAATTATTTTTTAAACATATTTTAACATCCATAATAATAATAATAGTAATAATGATAATATTTATTTAAATCAATAAAAATATACAATTGAACAACTTATTGTAATGTAAACATTACATAAATATCAATAAAAAAACACTTATATTCAAGGTTAAAAACTTAACAACCATCCTTAACAAAATGCAGATTAATATAACTATGTTTCCCATAGAATATAAAAAAAAACATGATATTCTACCAAAAAAAATAAGCGATTTTATATAGTTACAATATATTAATGAATCTGTGAATTTGACTTATAATAAATATCCACTTAGAAACTTATGTTACAATTTAGCATCAATAAGGCACTTAGTTAATTTTGTTTTTAATAATTTTTATTTTATTTTTCATTTCTGGTAGTGCGTTATAAATTTTTTCTACTCCCGCCTGTAAAATACCTAATTACCCACGGATCTAGCGTGCGGGAAGCGTCACTTTACCACGTCAATTTCGTTTACCATGAATTCGAGCCACTTCGCAATCGGATGTTTTCGGAGAATTTTCCACGGTTTGAATTTGACGTTGGTCGTCGTGACATTTTGACAGTCATGTCAGTGAATGTATTCGTGTTTTACGAAAATTGACAGAAAAACTAACGGTCGTAGAAAAAGTATAGTATGCAACACGTTCGGTAAACTTTTTAACTCACTCGTTTATTCAAAACTCGCTCCGCTCGTGTTAAATAAACTCATGAGTCAAATGCCGTTTACCGCACTTGTTGCATAATATACTGTTTTCACCCTTATAAAAGTAATTTTTTTATCCAACAGATAAATGCATTTTTTGTAAAGTTAAATTTTCTCCAAGTTTAAAGCGTGTTTCATACTCGTAAGTTTTTGAATTTTAATACATTAATATCAATTATTTCCAGCTTAGCGACTTTTGCTGCAATCCATTTTTTGAGATTAGTTCAGCTAAATATCCCTTGACGTGTGACAAGTCTTAAATGGGTCAATGCTACAGACCTTTGCAATATTTTTTCTACTGATTGGCAAACTTAAAAATTATGTATACTTTAAAAATCCTATAAGAGCATGTACAATATTTTAATTTAATAAACGAAATTGATGCTATAATCGTCACACTGCTTTTACTGAAACCCACCCTACCCTTTTTTATTTGACGAATATTCACTTAGATCTCATTGTTAAAACGTACCCTAGACCATTCATCATTTATTAGGAATTTCTTTTTTTCTTCGAACGGGGGAGCTGCTCTCGCGGCAAACTTCAGTTCCCCTGACAACAAAATGGTGGTTGCATTTTGCAGAGGTAGCAGTGGAAA